AAAAAAGAAAACAGACCAGGTGCTGGAAGGTGGAATTAGAATGGATGGTTCTTGTTGTTTTTCAGTTGGTGCAGACACAATGGGCTGAATGACTTCCTTCTGTGCCATAACTTTTCTATGGTTCTAATATCTTTATTTGCCCTTTACAACAAGACAAGCAAGACGGTGTACACATTATCCTGCATTCTGCCAATGCATCCAAGCGCTCAATCCCATTAGGGACAATCTTTCTGACCTCTCATTGACTATAGCAATTTCTAATTGGTTACAATTTCTTGAATTCCCACCAATACATGAAGGATAGCCTTTACCAAATGACCCAGTAAACATCATAATTGAGTTCTGGGCCCCAGACCACATGTGAGCAATGCCAGGGGTGGTCTGTTACTCGTTAAAGTGTTGGGGCTGATCTTCCTCAATTTTACTCTGCCAGTCTAAGTTTTGAACATTTAATTATACAGGTAACTTTAGATCAGTTTCTTGTATTTTTGCTGTGAAGTGCATTCTTCTCAATCAGTTAGTTAAAATCAAAGCTTTCTGAGCGTGGACATGTAACAGGGATGGAAACAGTTTAAAATACATGTATAATTTATAACAAAACATCCTGCCTTCTCCAACATTGAATGCTCAGAATGAGGATAAATGTGAAATGAGCCACCAAAGCAGCTAGTAACAAGTTTAAAAAAATATTGCTCGGTTTAGGAAAAGGGACTAAGTGTCAATTGTAACCACCAGCGCCCCCTCCCACATCTGTGAACTGTAAAAAATGATTGAACTCAGTGGGTAATCCAATAAAGTATACATGCAAGTAGCAGACGGTGTAGGGAATCTTTTTCACAAAAAGAATCAAGAGTAACCTACTTTCCTCTTTAAGACTCCTGGTTTCCTAATGGTCTAATCAAAAGATTCATGGCGTCGCAATGTCAATTTCTCTATTTTAAAATCTGTGAATTGAGGGGGGAAGAAACCCTCCCAGCTATCGTTTTAGACAAATGAGCAATAGAATAGGTCAGTGTGTGTCTAAAGGAGAAAAGCACCTTAGTGGGGCTAGGACAGAGACAGAGCCTTGTCCAAGAGGAAGGTTGTTTACTTGAACTCCGGGCGTCTTGAAACGGCCTCGATCCCATTTGTCTGGTTTGATTTCGCTTCTCTTCGTGTCCTGTTACTGGGTTTGGAAAGGGTGTTGGAGGTGGAGCTGCAATTTGTTGTGACTGAAGTACTTGGGATCGGACTGTGCCAACAGGGTTGGCAAAATCTTCGTAGTTTTGGTCGATGGAAAGTGCATTTATCATAACACAAGTAGCTCGCAAAGGGGAGCAGTTCTCGACTCTGCGATGGAATCCAGGTAACGAAGGAATTCCTAAGCTACCTTTGTACCTTGTGCCCTTCGTTGTTTAGCAGAGAAACTAAGAGCATCCTTTTGTGCTCTCTCTGTAGACCCCGTTAATTGGATAGCGAGTAACAGATTTACAGCAATATCAAGTGAATTCTGAATTTGGGATTGGATGTTCTGATTAAGCAATGCTTGCAATATTAGCATTCAGTCCAGATGTTTAGCGTCCTTTCCTTCAAGTTTCTTCTCTATTTATGAGGAAATCATAATTTCCAGTAAAGCTTTGTTGCGCTTTGCCCTGACACATAATTCCCTCCAAGGAGTGAATAATGTTTCTGTGCTTTATTTAAAAATGGAAATCATTTCGACACGAGCTTCGCTTCTGAATAGCTGTCAACATTTCTTTCACCTTTTAACGTTTTGAGATTGATTCTCGCGTTGTTATTTTTCCCCTGCAGGGCAGTTCCAAACTTTTTTTCTTCTTGGACGCTGTTCAGTGTATACATCTAAACTTATTTTCTTGTCATGTTAGCTCCCTAGCTGAAAATTAATTTTAGGTGTTTCTTTTTTGATGCAGTGGTTTCTGGGAGCTTTACTGTTATTAATAGATTAACTTTTTTCCTGTGTCTCTGGCGTTGGAAGCAATGTTATGTAGAGTGAGATTTGAGGTTTTTAAAACCGGGATTACGAGCTAAATGAAGTCACGACTGCGCGTTTTGGAAGTTCCGGACCTGCAGTTTAAAAAAAAACCTGAGGATGGAATAGGGTGGAGGTCTGACTGTTAACGTTTATCACTGAGGTATCCAGTATAAAGTACACGGTATAATTTTGTAGAGTGGGACATATTCTTCTACACTTACTAGGCCGAATAATTTTCCCAAGTTCTACATTAGAAAATAGGCAGTGAGAATTCTTTCCTTTCTTAATGAGTATCGCTTAGCCCATTCATAATATTTAAAATCTTAATTTTCAGGGGGAGCGGGAATCTGTAAGAGAACCAGTCATGTTTGAAGGTAAGTAAAATTTTCCCTTCCGAGAATAGCCATGGATCTAACTCGTGATTTAGTTTATGCATGTGAGTGACGGCAATGGTTTAGTGGTATTATCACTGGACTATTAATCCAGGGAGCCACGTAATGCTCTGGGGACGCGGGTTCGAACCCCCCCGCGACGTAAATTCAACAAATATCTGGAATTAAGAGTCTAAATGACGATCATGAATCGATTTGTCGGGGGAAAACCCCATCTGGTTCACTAACGGCCTTTAGGTAAGGAAACTGCCATCCTTACCTGGCCTGGTCTATATGTGACCCCAGACCCACAGCAATGTGGTTGACTCTTAACTGCCCTCTGAGTAATAAACGCTGGCCAAGCCAGCGACACCCTCATCCCACGAATCAATAATAAAAAAGAACTAGTGAATTAGACAACTTCTGTGGCTCTTACTTTATGCTTCACCCTGTTCTTTGCGAGGAAAATGGGCATTGAAAGGTCAGTAAAAACCAAAAGAACTGCAGATGCTGTAAATCAAGAACAAAAACAAAATTGCTGGAAAAGCTCAGCAGGTCTGGCAGTTCTGAGGAAGGGTCACCGGACCCGAAACGTTAACTCTGTTTTCTCCTTCACATTGAAAGGTCAGTAGCTTGTTTCTGACCTCCAAAGCTGGAAGTCAGCATATTCCATTATAGTTTCAGGCCTGTTACTTGTTTATAGATTCCACCCACTTCTCTCTGTCACCACCCCCACCCCCGGCAGAAGGTGAATGGATTGAAAATTTTAAGTAAAAGTTCAGCAGTTGTGATGGCTTCTGTAATTGAACAGTCAGAGGTTGCTTGTCCAGATGAATACTGTTGGTATAGCAGGCTTTGAGAGTGAAGATTTCCTGTTCCTCACTAGTTCTGTGGTTATGATGCTTGCAGATTTCCTGGACGCTTAATGGAACTGCAGGTGACTTCTTAAAAGCCTTTCACTTGAGCTGAGAACTCTGTTCCCTAAAGACATGGTCTCCCAAATCTTCCCAAGGAGTTCTAGCTTTAAAATAATGTCTCTCAGTTTTATATGGGTCAAACCTAAGATGGCTGCTATATTAACTTGATGAGTGACTGTCCCACAAAGCAAAGTCAATTATGCTGGAATTTCCTGTGGGAATTTCTTTTGGGCTCATTTTGAATCATAAAATCCCTACAGCACAGAAGGAGGCCATTTGACCCATAAAGTCTGCACCAACCCTCTGAAGAGCACCCCACCATATCCCCGTAACCCTGCGTTTACCATGACTAACCTGCCTAGCCTGC